ACTTGACTTGCAGCTGAGTGTCGCCTTTATATAGCAGTCGGCTGCTCGCAGACGAAAGCGTAGAAGCATCGAATTGTTCGCTGTGGAAGGTTCTTGTTTTATCGTTTCTAGAATATACTAGTTATCGGCTTCTCTCTTTCATCTGACATTCGCCTCGCATTTTCGCAACAATAGTTTCGAAAAGCCATAAACGAAAATCATAAATTATATACACATACACATGCAAGCATAAATATATACACTGATAGAATGAAAATCCGTCTTTTTTTCTTTGTGTCCCCGAGCACGCCTCTACTACCCTTTTTGGACAAAGCTTAGGATTCGCACTTCATCCCTAAAATCTAGAATTTTTGCTCTTTGTCCAGCTTATATGACGGACGGACAGACAAGTCGAATTTACTTGCCTCACAATATGAGCTAATAGGCAAACAGCAAATTTAATAGCACAATGCCGATTCGGAAGGTGTACGATTGATGTGCTACATGGACACATAGCTATGTTGTAGGGCGCATGCGTTTATGAATGATAATGTTGTATTTTTCATGGTTTCATGCATGTATGCCCTAATAGACATACAGAAAATTTTGTAGGCCGATGCCGATTTGCTTCATTTCTGCAACGGTGATTGAATTTTGTCAGTGGCAAGAGTTTTAAGCAGTGCTTGTAGACGATTCATGAATGATACGGCTTGAAGGAAGAAGTGCATGCTAATGTATGTTGTTGTTGCTTCACTTTTCGCGATCCTTTTTGCTTCCGATTTTTAATGTTTTTTATGAATGAAAATCTTATTGTTGTACTTGATTTCAGTCAATTTCAGAATATTGTGGCGAAAATGCGAGGCGAATGTCAGATGAAAAAGAGAAGCCGATAACTATTACATTCTAGAGCGATAAAACGAGAACCTACACTTTCGTCTACGAGCAGCCGACTGCTATATAAGGGCGACACTCAGCTGCCAAGTTAGTTACAAAGTGAACTCGTTGGCGACAACATCAGTATAGAGTCGTAAAGTAAACGCGTTGCAGATTACATTTAAGTGAAGTAAATTGTAAAAGTTTATGCAAGTGATTGTAGCTAGTAAAGTGCGTCGTAATTGAATTGTGAATTACTGAGTAAATAAAGGACATTAGATAAATTCTTTATAATGAAAGAAACTGCAAATTAAGTTGGCGATTTTTTATTTAACAATCCTTCGGGAACGAAGAAGGATTCAGAAAATCATCGAGGTTGATTCAGCAAAATCGTAGTTTAAGCCAAATCCTAGCCACTAATATGCAAAGGAAAAGAAATGCTTGCTGTGCTATATATGAAGTAATATGCGAACAGAATATTTAGTAGCACGATGACGATTTGCGAGAATTGAAACAGTGCTTGTGGACGACACATGAATGTTACGGGTTGAAGGAAAAGGATTCGCTTTGTATGTATGTTGTTGTTGTTTCAATTTTCTCGACCATAATGATTTTGTGTGTTTGTGTTTTTGACACTGTCGCGAAGAAGCAACTTGTTGGTATGGCACGGAGGTGTTTATGTATGAACGCACTTTGCTTTGTTGTAGGGCGCAGGCGTCTATGAATGAAAATGTTGTTGCGAAATTTATTTACATGAAGAAAAGGTGGCACCACAGCTTAACAAAGCATCAAAATATGCGAAAATAACAAAGAGGAATGAAAAAAACAAATAAATTTGTTATACAAATTATTTTTATTAAATTAATAGCAATGCATTGCAAAGTTTATCAAACCAAATACATGTTATGGTTTGCACTTTCATGCATGACTCTTTGCTCTATAGAAGAGCTCCAAATAAAATAATTGTGCCGCACTTGGGTACTTGGCATTTGCCACTATATTCGTGTGATAATGATCACATATCTTTGTACAAATAACTACTTCGCAGGAAACATTGAACGGTTGATTGCATCCATTACACGGTGAATACAATGGCTTGCTGACGTCTTGCTCATGAATATCCCCCATTGCTCTCGGACGGGACGTTGCTAGCATCCAGTTACAAAAAATCGCAAGGCGGTTAGAACCTTTAAACATTTGAATAGTGTTAAGACTAAAAAAGTATTGAAAAAATACATCCGTAGACAATGCTGTTATTCTTCTTCCTTTTAGTTGACAATCTAGTTGAGAAACGATTTCTTAAACTAAATCCGGCATTAATCTATATAGCTTCCGAAACTCGGTAGCATTCGAGTAAAAAGGATCTTCCGCTTCCCGAAGCAAACTTCTATCCAATGATGAAGGGTAGGATACCTCGTCACATTGTGATAAATCGTATGCCAAATATTCAAAACCATTTCTTTTATTTTTTTATTTTTATTTTTGTATAACTTTGACAATTTCCCGGACACTTTACTCTCTTAAATGAAATAACAAAATTTTGTCGATATCGCTAACAGCTTAAAAATATTCGTCGCTTAGTTAGCGATTTTTCGAGTAGTTTACGACAATAGCGAGAGCGAATATCGTTATAACATGTACACCGAATATTAAAATCGTTAGAATTATCGCTAAGTCTTCTTTGCGATCCGAAAATCGTTATACTATTCTTAGAAAATAGCGAATATCGTTAAAAATATCGTTAAGTCTTCTTTGCGATCCGAAAATCGTTATACCATTTTAGAGAATAGCGATTATCGTTAAAAATATCGCTAAGTCTAATTTGCGATCCGAAAATCGTATACTGTGCTTAGAGAATAGCAATATCGCTAAAATTATCGTTAAGTCATTATAACGAGCCGAAAATCGTTATAATACGATAGAGAATTGCCCTACTGATTCTGACATTTTATAGTGAAAGATGAACAGATAAGGTTATTTGTTTCTAATTCTATATAATATTATATTTGATGCATTCTCACCCAATGCACCATTAAATGACTGTCATTGTAAAGACATCATAATTTTTCTATGTTTAAATAGGACAAAGTTCCCTATTTCCAAAAATTTATTTGCTTTATTTTATATACTGTTGGCAATGCTTGATGAATACCTACAAGAAAATGTATAAATGATAAATAATGAGCAAAAGAAAATAGTGATTAGCGGAGTGAATACCACCGCATATTTCGAACGCATTTTAATAGGAAAAACTTATTTTAAAATTCACTAAAAGTGCATAAAAAGACATATAAACTATTAACTAATTACTGAATAATAAAATGTAAGTAAAACGCAGCATTCGAGGCATGCTGGTAGTTGTTCAACTTAGCTAATGTCTGTAGTGTTAAGAGTAGCTTTGGTTTCTGGCGACATGAAAAAATATATATATATCTCATTATTTTGCAAAATGTTTGATTTCTATAATAATATAATTTAAATGTCTTCATATTGATTAAATATTATGGCATTGTTAAAAAACAATTGGAGGAACGTATATATAAAACGACAAGGGTGGACGGGCTCCAACCAGGGTTGCATTGAATTCCAATAAGATTTTTTTCTCCGAGTTTTTAGTACAAGGGTGTAAATAAATATATACATACTTGTATATAAATATATGTACATACGCTTAAATTGTATGTAATTACTTCTTAACCACTTGTTTTCATCATTGTATTTTAAATGCGAACATAAACTCTAAACAATAGTTTGCATCTAAATTAAACTGTTTTCGTTATCCGGATATCTACTGCGACGAATCAGTACATTCGCCTTTTACGAATTATTCTTTATTTTTACTATGTCTTGTTATCGCGTACAAGTGCTTTTCATTTAGTCCGACGGCAGAAATTAATTGTGAAGGTTGGTTGAAGCAGTTATGTGTTGAAAATAGTGATGTTTACTTGTTTGTGAAGAGCTGGACAATAAATGAATTAAATTCAAAGCATTCGGGGTCTGCTTCAATTAACAGTTCAGAAAAGTCGCGTAAATCTAAATATTCGAGTGAAAAATTTGCTATATCATAGAACTGCTTGCAAATTTACGAGTTTAGATACACATGTAGCTACTCTCGCTTATTTCAACAAATTTGCAAATTTCCTCTTGGAAATTTCCACAAATTTGTGACCCTAAATTACATAAAAAGTTTGGAGTTTCATTCAAATTCGCGTAAGTGTTTATGTGTGTATGTACATTTGTACATATGTACATGTGTGAAAAATCTGTGTGCTCCTCCCAATGCAGAAAAGAATGTGAAGAAATAATGAATGCATAAATACATATGTTTAAACATACAATTTAACATTTTTAATTTCGAAAAAATGTTATATCTTTTATACTCCATAAGCGTTTAAAATGTATGTAAGTAGGTACATCGTAAAAACTAATTGATTTTAATTTATTGACTTCGGAGAAAGGACTTGCAAAATTTATTAATCTGCGCTTAGTCTAAACTCGACGACTTGTAACAACCTTTCCGATCTAAGCCTACAGCACCAAATTACTTACATATGTACAAATATGCTGCATACATTCTGATGAGAATATAAATTATAAATAGAGGGCGTTAACATTACATTACTTCTGCTTGCGCATTTTTATTGCTTATGTGTGATTATATATACATATGTATATAGTTCATTGAGTAGCTTGGAAGTAACTGAAACGAAATTGAAAATGATTAAGACATGTCAACAATGGTTTTGTGAATTTGATACTTTTACAACATTGGAAAGTTTTTCGCAAAGGGTTCGCCGAGTATTATTGATATTAACCTAAAAGTAAGATTTCGAATAAGGTCGGACGATTCTTATACACTCGTATTTGGTATCACGTATTGTTTTAATTCGCTTTCGTTTTGAACACAAACAAACGCAAACATATCAACACCATGTGAAACACATGAGGAAACTCGTTATATGTATATTTACGCTTGTATATGCATATTGATGCCGGCATATACATATGTATGTGCATACACACATTAGGGTACGTCGTTCCTTTCTTCATAAAATAAATATGTACATGCGTATGTGCATTCGTACTATTACTTCGCCTCTTAATTTAAAGTTTTTTTTTATGCCAGTCCTTCTGACCCAATGATTCTAATAACTTTGTTGTGTAGCTCAACACTTTTACTTCACACTTAGATCAATCAGACTAATGTATTTAACATACATAAAGGCCATGTGCCATTTGAACTTTTCAATTTGTATCAATTTATCAAGGGGTGTACTCAAATTTATATTTCTTAATATAAACATATATATGAGTACGTATGTACATAATTGCATACATATATGTAGGTAGGTACGTATTAACTAAAAAATATACATAACAGCATTTGCATTGGAACAGAGCAAAAACAGATTTTTCAAAATTCCCATTGATGTACATAGTACATACATACATACATACGTAGACCGTTAAATGAATCTAAGGGTCTCTATTAAAAGCAAAAAAAAAAGGAAACGAGTATTTAAAGACAAATTGAATTTTCGTGCAAAACATACCATAGTTTGCTAGGCGGCGCGTATTTAAGTGCCATGATCTAATTAATTTATGCAAGTTTATCACTTCTACACTGAAAAGTTACCTTTGTATAAAAACAACATATGTATATGAATTTGTTGTACAAGGTATGTTTAGTTTATCCCATAATTGCAATGCTCAGGCGAATATATTTGCTAACCTTGAACTGGACTGGGAAAGAAACTACTTGATATTTAGTAGTGTTGTGTGATCTGCTCATTTGTTTGCATTATAGTTTTATATACATACATACATTTGTATGTACATACATACATATGTACATGTTATCGTTTTTATAAAATTCAGATAAGCTTTATCTAAAATGGTACATTGCCAGAAAAAATGAAAGAACACTCAAAGCTGACCTTTAATGCTGATACTGCGGCACATGTACATATGTACATAAATACCGACGAGTATATGAAAAATAAGTCAAAATAATATTTTCGATTCCCCTATCATCTGTGAGCGGCTTGTAAAAACATACTTATGTGAAACATTTAAAAAATGAGATAAAGTTGTGTTGTTTGCAGTTAAAATTAAAATTTTAATATCGTTTTTATTAATTCCAAATGATTAATCATTATGTATGATAGCACTAGCTCTTTTTTAAATAAAATTTTATTGTATGCACGTCTGTTCGAATGTATTTTAAAACGAATTTCTCTTTGAATTATTTTATAAGCTTATGAGGATTCGTTTCTATATTAAATATAAGTAGATAGCAATACATCGTATGCTATGATCTTATATTGTATTTTTATATTAGTTTTGTAAGTTAAGATTTCATATTTATGTTACGGTAATTGCAGGTAATGTGGTGGTAGTGAGTGTTGTTAAAAAATATCTTATTCCTTGATATTTCTGCCTATTAAGAATGATAAGCGAAGAGTTTTGTTTTATATTGTTAATAAATCGGAAACTTTAATGAGAACTGAGCAAAGGTATTCAGGCCTGAGGCACGGATATTTCATTTATTGCGCAAAGCATTCAGCACTGCATATTTTTAGGCGCAATTTGATTTGAATTTAAAATAAAAAGAAAAACAACATATTAATAAAAATAATTTAAATTAAATTAATTAAACACTTAAATTAAATAATGACTTTGTTTGTACCAACCTAAAGCTTTTAATTATACTTCTTATATAAACAACTGAAGTTATGCTCGTGTCTATTAGTAACAAATATAATAACTCTCACAATTTTGACAAAATAGGAATTTGTAATATTTTTTAATATTGCCTATCAGTATTTCAGCTACCACCCACATTACCTTTTCGCTCCCGAAATGTCTGATGTATTATATATATTAACATATGATTCAGAAATGAAATTCTAGTGAAATACACATATATATGTACATACATTTGTATGGATGTATAAAAGAATATCACAGAAAGGAACCGATTAATGAGAACTCACTTCCGCCCAAGCATTACCCGCATTTGATAAGTAACGATGCCTAAAAATTTGAGCAGTGGAAATTAACTTGGCTTTTTCTCTTCATTTCTATTTATTTTCTCGCCTCCACACTATCCGCTGCGCAACTAAAATCGTAGTGAGAAATGTCTGAAGAAAATGACAAGGTGCCGGACTCGGAGCAGACTTGCCGCAATTTAGCTGAGGAGCTACTACGTGAAATGCCCGATATGAAAGATGAGATTGAACAGGAATTGCGGAATGCACTGTCGAAGAGTAGTGATTGTGAGGCGAACGAGACGCAAAGTACCGATTCGAATAAAACTACAGAGAAAGAAAATGATAGCGAAAAAATAGTTAAGGAAGATGAGGTCCTCGAAGTACCTGAAGATGAAGAACTTGCAACACCGGTAGATGTACATGTTGCCATCGAAAATCTGAACACTGCTGAAAGTGAGACAATTGAAATAGAAGAGGAAGCAGAGGTTAATAAAGACCACAGCCATTCAACAGAGAATATGAACGAAGATATCATCGAAGAGGCGGACATTCAGAATATTAATGAAGGCACCGTTAAAAATTCCGAAAATACTGACCTCAAAATTGAATCTCTATTCCGTAAACGAGAAAATGAAAATGGCTCTGACAGCGGCAGCTCAAGGCCGCAAGAAAGTACTAATGCCAAGAAACCAAAATTAGACATTTCCACTGAAAGAAAGTCAATTATTGAAATCCATATTGCCAACAAGGTAATTGATGTTGAGGAGTCGCTTACTGAGCTGGAACGTGTTCGCAAAATAAAGGAGCAATCAATTATTGAGTTACACAGATTGAAGTGTCAGGAGGATAAGCTGCTCAGGATCGAGAATATAAATAAGCAACTGCAAAAGAATATCGAACAGAGTAGAGTGAATTTCAGAGCTAATGGTATCGAGGAGGGTGCTGAAAAGAACAAGCTTATTGTAACAGAATCTACAATTGACAACAATATCTCGACAGTCGCCATTAGTAAAGTAAATGATAAGTCCAATCAGGAGTCGACATGTGTGGAAGCAAAATTATCAACACCTGCTTGCGCTGAACCTTCTTTCTCAAGTGCGCATGCTGATAGTAGTGAATTCTCTCATGCCTTGTGTGATTCCAACGTTCAGCAAGACTCTGAAGTCCCGGAATTGACTGCATCTAATAATATTACGCTTCAGGAGACATTGAATGCTAACAGTGACGTTATGCAAACAGAAGATTCAACAGCTGGGGTTCCACCTGCAACAGATAGTGCTATGTGTGAAGAATTATCTGACACACACGTGGATGTTGAAATGAAGGAAGCAAATGCTGTAAATACTGGGACGCCAACCGCATCTACACATCCCGATGAGGGCAGTAATCACCAAATTCTCGGCGAACCTGAAATTCATTCACCACCAGAGGAGCTGACAGCCGAAGAAGAAGAGCGCGATCGCGAGTTGCGCGCCTCGCGTGCCACTTTTCTGCAACACTTGCCATGCTTCAAGCTACAAAGGAGCGGGGCATGTGCAAATAAGAGCGACACAAATTCTAACGACAGCACTTCAAGTCGCCATACCGTACCCAGGTGCCGTGAGTGCCGACGTCGCAATTTACAGGGTGGCTCTGATGTCTATTGTCGCTTCTACGAATTTCGTCGTCTGCAGTATAATGAAGCGGGCGAGCTGCTGGTCGCGGGATTTCCCAATCCGTATACGGACCCAACACCAGATGATTTACGTATCTGGCAGCCAGATGAGTATAGTGTGCCCACGGCTGGTTGGATGGATATCCAAGTTGCCCGTTACATCTTGTTGCATGCCGGTGATCAATTCTGTTATTTGTGGCAACAAGAGGCCGAGGCGTTACGTTTACACGAAAACCCGAATACTGTCATCGCTTGGAAGAAGGTGGTACAAGGTCTACGGGAGATTTGCGACGTATGCGATACAACACTTTTCAATTTTCACTGGACTTGCGAAAAGTGTGGTTTTGGTGTTTGCCTCGACTGCTTCAAGGATCGCAAAGAGCAGCGCAGTTGTCACAAGAAACGCGCAGCGGATAAGCTACAACGCGGGCATGACGAATACCATTGGATGCTCTGCTCCGCAACAACGCCTACTCACCAGAAACATGAATTACGCGATCTCATGTTGACGCAGATCATTGCCAGCGACGCACTTAATGTTTTGGGTCGACTATTGCATGACGTGCGCGCCATGTGGCAGGTGCCACAAATGTGTGGCTGCTTGTTGAGCAAACAAGATCTGCCGCCAGATACAGAATTGGGCACCTTAATACAGGACATGATTAAAGAGTCACAATTAAAGCAGCAGACAAGCGCTTCATCACTGGCTACTGAAGAGACGTTGCGTAAGCAGGCGCGTATGGAAGAATTGCATGCAAAGAAATTGGAATTCGCACGAGCACGGGGCATTGATTATGTGCCTGGTCGGGTGTGGACCAAACAAACGTTGGGCAAGGATCCCATAACCACTGCTTATGATAATTTTAAACATATAAACTTTCTTCGCAAAGGTTTGGCTGGTTTGCGACGCTTTTTGCCGCCGCGCGCAATGACCCTAACCTACTCGACAATGCTGGCACCGGGCGTGCCGCATGAATGGCTATGCGATGGCAAACTTCTGCGACTTACCAATGCCATGCACCCCGATAATCGCATACTCTATCAGGAAGTATGGAAATGCGGCCAGCCGGTGATGATCTCAGAGGTGGCTCGTTCATTGAATCTCGATTTGTGGCGCCCAGAAGCCTTTTGCAATGATTTTGGCGACATACCTAACGACTTGATCAATTGCCTGAATGGCAATTTAGTTCCAAATCAACCGATGCGTAACTTTTGGGAGGGATTTCAATGCATTAAGAAACGATTGCTCGACGCGAATGGCAAACCGATGTTGTTGAAGCTGAAAGACTGGCCGCCAGGTGATGATTTTGCCGAAATACTACCAACACGATTTGCTGATCTCATGGCCGGTCTGCCCATGCCGGAATACACACTGCGTACAGGCAACCTAAATATTGCCAGTTGCTTGCCAAAGATGTTTGTGCCACCTGACTTGGGCCCAAAAATGTACAATGCCTATGGTTCAGCACTACATCCGGACAAGGGCACTACCAACTTGCACTTGGACATATCCGACGCTGTAAACATTATGGTTTATGTAGGAGTACCACAAGATGCCGACAGCAAACCACAACTGGTAGCGACACAAAAAGCCATAGCTTTGGGTGGTTGTGATTATTTGACACGGGCGCGCTGCCAATCGCCAGACGTTCTCCCTGGCGCTCTGTGGCACATTTTTCCTGCACGAGATGCAGATAAAATTCGTGATCTACTTAATCGGGTAACAATAGAGAAAGGTTTCCGCTTAGAACCGGATCACGACCCAATACACGATCAAAATTGGTATTTGGATGACAAATTGCGTGCGCGGCTTTTTAAAGAATACGGCGTTGAAGGCTATCCTATCGTACAGTGTCTGGGCGATGCGGTCTTCATCCCAGCTGGGGCACCTCATCAGGTGCAAAATCTACACAATTGCATCAAAGTGGCCGAAGACTTTGTGTCACCCGAGAATATAACGCATTGTTACCACTTGACCCACGAATTTCGCCATTTATCACACTCGCATACCAATCACGAAGACAAATTGCAGATCAAAAATATAATTTACCATGCCATCAAAGATTGTTGTCATATCTTGGTACGCGCTCTACATCAGCGACTCGACGAAGAGTTGGCCAAAGTCGAGGAGCAAAATGAAAAGTTGGAAGCGAGCTTAAAAGAAACGACGGAGCTTGCAGCTAAACTTAACGGAGACGACGCAATGAATGGAAATTAGAGCTTGCTCCTTTAATATGGCCTAAAGGAGTTTAAGATAACATAAAATCAATGTTTTTTTTAGTATTTTGTGTTTTTATACATGCATTATTCTAACACATTTGACAAACGAGAAATTGTATCGTAGTATTATTAAATTATATACTGGTATGTACGTGTATACTCCGATTCTGTAATAAAATGGTGTATTATGTAGTTTTTTCAACAAAAGAATTTTCTTTCAGTTGGGTTTCTTGCTTTATAATGAAATTTTGGTCTTTGCCTAAATCAATATGTAATTTCTATACGAATTTGCGGAAAAGAAAATTTGCTGAAATGAAGAAAGAAGATCCATCTTTTTTGGTAACTTCAGTGAAGCTTGGGTATTTAATTGTTTGATCTGCTGAAAGGAGAGGACTTCTCACTAGAATGAAGACTTCATCTGGTACAAATTTCGACATAATAATTGTTGTTCACGCTAAAACAAATGACATCTACTGAAAACGACGCGAAATGACAGTACCTTTGAATTAAATATAGCCATAGATGAAAACGACGCGAAATAATACTAGTAGAGCTCTCTCATAGAAAACCGACACGAATTAATGCATACACCCAATACATAAATATGTAAAGGCCATATGAGTGTGTGAGTTAATTTTGCGCGGCTTAGTGCTACCAGGCTAAATTTAACGTCATTAACATCCAAAAGTAAGAGAATATTAGTTTAAATAAAAAATTAAAATGTAAAATTTTCTAATTGTGGTCGCCCCTCCGACTGTTTTTCTGGCATGAAATAAAAGCTCTTCATAAAAAACCATTAGCCGTTCGGAGGCGGCTTAGTATAAGCTGTAGATAGATCCCTCTATTTGTGGGAAAACATCAAGAAGCCAAACCACAAATTGGAAGAGCTCTCGGCCGAAAATCGCTTCAGCGGTTCCAAAGCGCTAGTTATATGTATTTCCATCAAGGATGTGATCAGACTGTGAATGAATGTGTAGCATTCCTGGGAATTTATTGTTGTTACAACAACAACATTTGCTTTTAACTCATTTTTTTGGAGTATTTGTGAAACATGCTATGTATATTCTTATTAATTATAGTTTTTTAACTCTCTTGCAGAAACAATTTCACTAAGGTTCAAGTAGCCTCCAACCAATACGACTGCTATGTCATCCTGAGAAAGATGAATGAACGAACTTGTTTAAAAATTAATTCCGAATCCAGTCACAAGGTCAATTAATTACAAACAACTTTATAAATGATTAATAGTATATTCATAAATTGTAAAATAGTATAAGGAATTAGGTTTTGATAAACAACAAAAAAATACGACGTAAAAATGACGGTCGATTTCAACGATTACTTTTGGGTAAATAATAATTAATAATTTTTAATATGAAATTCATAATTTGATTATGTAATTATCTATAATTTTTCTCTTACACTACCATAATCAAGGGGGAGAAGAACAATGGCTTCGATGTGCTCTATCACAATATGAAGTTCGGTTGGGTGGCCAGCAAAGAGCTTTCTGAGTTCTTTCGCGAAAAGTCCAATATTGAAGAACAGAACTCGAAATTAATGGCCAAGCTGGCGCACAAAGCTAGCACTGGTACATTGAACAGCACATTTGCGCCCGTCTGGACAATATTGCGCACCTCAGCGGAGAAACTCTCCACATTGCATCTGCAAATGGTACAAAAGCTCACAGAGCTTGTCAAGGACGTCGCCAAATATGCTGATGAGCTGCATAAGAAACATAAAAGTGTTAAAGAGGAGGAATCACAGACCCTTGAATGTGTACAAGCGATGCAAACATCCACAGCAGCAGTACAAAAGCTGCGCGATATCTACGCGAGCAAAGTGTTGGAGTTGGAGAAGTTGCGCAAAGATAATGCATCACAGAAGGATATAGAAAAGGTGGAAACAAAATTGCGTAAATTGCAGGAAGAATATAAAACGCTGCTTGACAAGCATAATCCAATTAAAAGTGATTTCGAGCGGCGTATGACACAGACGTGTAAGGTGCGTACGGCTCAGATAAGGCCTTAACTTAACATATTTCAATTGCATTTATTTAAAAATTAATAAATTTACTTTATAGCGTTTCCAAGAAATTGAAGAAGTCCATTTACGGCAAATGAAAGAGTTTTTGTCCACCTTTTTAGAAATGCTGCAGAATAATCATGACATGGTTGGTCAGGTTGGTATAAAATTTAATTTTTTCATATTAGTGCTACTTTTTCTGAACCATCGCTTTATCATCTAATAGGTTCATTCAGATTTTAAACGTCAATTTAATGATATGACGGTGGACAAGCTTTTAGAGCAATTTGTGCTAAACAAATACACTGGCTTAGAGAAACCAGGTCAGTGTAAATTGAACATTAAAATATTTATATTCTATGAGCATTATTTTCTGTTTCCATCCTAAATGGATCTTACAGAAATTCCAGAACTTGAGACCATTCCACTTTCTATACAACAACAGCAGCAGTCCGTCTCAGCAACACGCTTAAATCAGCCAAGTGGTGTTGCTGTGGCCGCTTCCAATTCTAATTCGGCCACAAGCATACAGGGGGCCATATCCAGAATTACCAGCGGCAGCGTGTCAATGGATCAACGCGGTAGCGTTGGGGCCGAGGGCGGTTCGTTGGGTACCGGCGCTGTCGGCGGTAGTGGTGGTAGCGGCAGTAACAGCATAATAAACGCTGATGATGCCATACTGGGCATACAGGCATCACCACGCGCTACATCACCCATTTTAATGAGTACTACCACAATGACTGTTGCTGATGTCACTAATAGCTCTACTACTGTACCAGCTATAGCATCATCGAGCACATCGACAACTTCTTCAACCGTGCGAAGTAACTTTTTGAATTGGTTTTCGTCAAGCATTCCAAGCAACAAGCAGCCAGTAAATGCTGTAACAGCGACGTCCACAGCAACTGCCGCTAATAGCGGTGGTGGGAATTTCGGTACGGATAGCTATGGTTCTTCCCACACCGGCACAGCCATCATGAAAAATTCCCTAAACTCAGAGCTTCAGTCACTGCAGGATAATAATAATCAAGGTTCATTAATGTCGTCTGCTTTAACACAATTACCAGAACAAGATAACATTACTAACACAACAACAACTACAACTAGTACTACTTCTATTTCCTCTAATACTGCTAGTACTCCTACTTTTCATAATAACACAAATAATACTACTATCAACAAAACTACCACATCATCCACATGCTCCTCTGTAACAAGTAGGTTTTTCATTTTGTTATTTTCTTTTAGTTAATTAATTATTATTTTCTTTCTCTCCTCCTATAAGAGAGCGCGATTTTTAGTTTTTTTGTTTTTGTGTAAACACTCATTTAAAACTACTAATCATAAGTTTTGTTTTGGTTATTTTTTTATTCACAAGCGTTTCTGATTGTGTATTGTGTTTAAAGTAGGACAGTTCCTTGTAAATTAACAGCTTGGTATCACTTGTAAATAATAGTCATCTTCTATTTTGAGATCCGCATTAGGCAATCGTCGATCTCTGATTTTGGATTTTTTTTTTCAATTAAAATACAGTATTTTTTTTTAGCAAATTTTAAACATTTTACTAAAGCTTTTAAATTTGTAAGAATTTATAAAGAATTAAAAGCCGAATATAATTACTCAGACCTCAACAAAAAAAAAAAATTCAATCATTCAAATTTAATGCTAATATAGATGCTTCACTATTCAAAATAATATTAATAGAAAAATTTTAAGGTATTTTGCTTTGAAGTAATAACTATTTTGATAATTTTCAACATTATACATTTTGATTTGTGGAAATAATGCGTTAATATTTCAACATTCTATTGCGATATTATTACTACTCTTCTCTCAACAAGTGTCGATTAGCATAAAGTTACTACTAGGATTTTATGACTTTTCTACATAATTTGTCTTGCAACAGAAGCTCTGTACCAACTGACCGTTATAAGTATCAGTTGGATATTTTTTATTTGCCACTGCAATATATTTAAATAATTGTGCTTGTTTTTATAACTAATAACCATATCCCACTTTAAATTCTTGCCTTAAAATGTACAACTTATGCTAAAAATCTAGATCAAAACTCTGTCGAGCAGCATCTGCAACAGCGCACCTCATCACCAACGCCAACCGGTTCAGCGGCGAATCGAAATTACATTGAACCGATTTCGACATCACTTAATGAACGTTCAAATCATCTACATCATCATCCGCATCCAGTGTCTGCAAGTGGTGTCGGTTCGTCAGCAACTAGTGCGGGCCCAACTGTGGGAAATTCTCGTCGTACAACATCGCTTTTGAATATTTTCACATCGAATTCTCAGGGTGAGAAGGAAAAGCAAAAAAAAAAAAAATCAATTGTTACAAAATACACATTTTAAGCATTTTATACCCGAGTATACTGTGCACAGCGGGTATAACAAACTTTGTTAAATTTGCAAACAACTGCACTGCAGCGTAATGCTGAAATGTGGACATTGTCATTTTTATATACTCGTACATATACAATTTATACATTGCTTTCACTGATTTTTTGGTACTTCTAATCAAGTTTTTATTTAGTATATTGAAATAATTGCGTGCTATATTACACACACAACACTCAATTTAGTATGTATGTTTGTTGGTGACACCAATCTTTTTCATTGCCTGTGAAAGGTTTTTCTAAGGTGTTTTTGTACATTTTTTTTTTGTTTTGCTGATCTCTTTCAACTTCTATAGAAATTCTGGTGGCATTCGTTTTCAATAATATCCACATTGTACTTCTAACTTTTCACTTTCGTATTATTTTATCTATAGAATATTTTATAATTTTATATGTATATATTTTTTAACTCGCTTTCATGCTTAAGTCTATGACGAATACGATGTGACGCAACAGATTCATCGGCAACTGTTTTTAATATATTTTCATTTTATAGAGTTTTGATTTGGATTAGTATAAGTTGAGCAATATTTGGTTGAGGTTTGAGTTTTTCGAACTTTTTATTTATTTGCTTTTTTTTTTGTTTTCTTGATTTACATATTTATATGCAAGAGTTTCTTGATTATTGTTAGTTTATCCCGCATGATATCCTTCTGCTCAGCTCTTGACACTTTACTTCAAAGCATGTGCTCCTAAAACTTCTTGTCATACTTAATTTGTCTGCTCTCATCTCATGAAAATATTATACATACTACATACATATATGCAAAATTTATCGAATTTTATTTTACTAATTTTCCTACCGTACCAATTACTAATTCCGAACTTCAAATTATGTTTTACTCGTATTCATATGATGATCCAATTTTATATATATGGGGCTTACAAAGTATTGCATGCAAATTTTAACGACGAGATGCATATTCGTTTTGTTAATTTTCGAAATTTTCGAAAGCTTACTCAAGCTGAAGAAGTTCTAGTCCAAAAATAATGAAGAAAATCAAAGTTCTGTGTGCAAGTATAATGAAAATAATGGTTAACAACTTAAAAAACATTAGAAATTGTTGGAGTTTATTTCTTGAGGTTTAATTGCTATAATAATATTTTATAAAATATAGGAAATTTTCAAAACGTTACGTGCATCTCCATTACTCTTAAAAAGTTTTTTTTTTTAACTAACGAAAGAAAAAAAACATATTTTTGTATGCCCCAGCAGCTAACTTTTCTGTAATTTCGCTTTATTGAAAAGCAAATTATCAATAAAATTAATTCTCACTTGAACAGTGTCCGGAATTTTACGTAGTCGTCGCGATAAAGCGAAAACTAAAAAGTCGAAGAAGAAGAAAGATGGCGAAGCTACCGAAAATATACAAGAAGAGCAGCAGGGAAGGTAAAAATTGTATTACCATTACATTCAACCTATGTCTATTCATTCATGCCTCTTCCCGCAATTAGTGTGGATCGCGCCAACAATTCCCACGATAATGACGATAACAATAAAATGAAAGCGCAAAATTCCAGTGGCAGCAGTGCCGGTGGCCTAGGCATATCATCTGCTTCAGCGCCGGGCAGTGTTGATTCGTCTGGTGGTGGCGCCGCTGCGCTTGGCGTTAATATTTCTGAAAATATTGGCGGCGGCTTGACAGGCAATGCTAACAATGCGAGTAAAGGTGGCAGTAATGGTGGAAGTAGTGCTGCGGGTGGTGCAGCTGGTTCAAAAGTATATGGCGCCAATGAGGTGGACGAAGATGGCTACAGCATGCAACCGCCGAAAGAGATTGCCTGGGAGGAAAATCAAGATAAAAGTAGGTGACACAGTTGTTAAAATAATACAAATGCCATACACATAAACAATTATATCCTTGTTTTAATTATTTTTTTTTTTTATAATTTTAGCTGGCAGTTTCTACTCTGATTCCGACTCAGACTCAGATAACGATAAGCCAGAACGACGTATACACGTGAAAATTAAGCCACTGAACAATGGCCAGGCGCCAATGTCCGCCAGTGTGGATGAGTTGCGTGCCACCGTGGAGAATATATCCTTATCGCCCACCAGCGTTTTTTCGGTACATAAATTGTTGACATTAATATCGTGCCCCTCGTTTCAATATTATTTTTATTAATTACTTTTTCATGTTCATATTTAGACTTTCAACCAACAGCACGGAAGTCAACAAGCGCAGCAATCGCGCATCGCTTCGCGTCAACAGTCGCCTGAAATTTCCAATGCATCCACACCAACAGCCACAGTGCATCCATATGCACCACTACAAAGTCCCACACTTTCTATGACCCATAACTCAAGGTACTTTATAATAATCTAGCCGCAATAATCCAATTTCATTTTTTATATAACAATAATTTTTAACGCAGATACGCCGACTTAGGTGATATTTTCTCTGAGTTGGGCGACGTAAGTGCCTCTGCGCCTGCTTCCGCCACGCTTTCAAAATCAAACAGCAGGCAAATACCTACACCTACATCAGTTAACAGTATTGCAATACCAAGACCACCTTCGCGGCGTTCGGAAATGGTTATGGCGCCCACCGTAGCGGCGGCCCGTGGGCGTATCAGTCCGTCGCCGGCAATGAACCGTGCAGACAGTATTGGCAGTTTGGAATTCCGCACTGCGATCGGTGGCATTGGCTCATCGCGTGGACCATCGCCACTTACTATTGGCATTTCAGATACGATTCCACTAGCGGTGGCGTTCCACGAGATCATACACGCTTACTTTAGGTATTTTGTGTGCATAATAATAGTAATCGTTGTGATATTTAAATACCGTTGCTACCGTCTACAGGGGCAGCGACGAGTCTCGTTGCCAGGTAAAAATCTCAGGCGATATGATGTTGTCATTTCCTGCTGGAATTGTTGGACTTCTAGCGAATAATCCGAATCCAGCAAAACTCGGTTTTCGCATAAAAAATGTGCAAAATTTGGAAAATTTATTACCAAATTCGAAGTTAGTGCAAATGTAAGTTCTTTATGGATCTACTTCTGTTAAAAATATTCAAAAATTGGTTTTTAGGATATTGTTTTATATCTATCTTGGCAGTTTTTTTTTATTTGTATACCTTTCACGAACATTAACCGGCATATTACGAACGACTATATCATATACTTGTACACAACCGATTTATAATACCATAAATTTAATAGGGTCATGAGAGATATAAAGATTTTGGCATTACATTGTTACATTTTTATTCCTATAGCGATCGCAACCAATCGAGTTCCTTCAGTACAATGTTGGAATTTAATATGCCCGCTTTGACTGCATTATTGCGCCACCAAGCGGAACACAACCCTAACGCATCATACTTCAATGTAGACATACTTAAGTATCAAGTGCGCTCCAAACCTGGCGCCTCTTCTTGTCCTTTCCAGTTGGTTTCCTATTGGAAGTGTGAGCCAACATTTACAGCACTCAAAATCGACTACAAGTACAATAACCATGCAATGGCAAGTGCCTCGCCGCTGTTGAATGTCACGCTTTCGGTGCCCGTTAACGGTTCGGTGCGCAATGTGCAGTCGAAGCCTCACTCCGCGTGGTAAGTTCAAATACCATATTTTTTGTCACTTTTTTTTTGTTTTTTTTTTTTACTATTTTTTCTCTGTCAGGCTTGGCGAATCGAACCGTTTGGTGTGGAACTTCACTGATATTTCACAAAATTCGCAAGACGGTGGTGTTGGCACGCTACGTGCCCGACTTGAACTTAACGAAGGTCCATCCGTCCCGGCCTTACTGTCTACACAATTCAATTGTGAAGGCACCACGCTATCTGGCATTGAATTTGAATTGCAAGGCAGCGGTTACCGGCTGTCGTTGGTGAAACGACGTTTTGTGTCAGGTGAGTCGGTGGCCCTATTATTTGTTGTATCATAACGTAAAAATCTTATTAACTGTTTGCAGGCAAATATGTTTGCGAGGGCGATGGTGTGCGCAGTGGAGCGACACCAACTCCACCATCCGTGGGTTCGTCTAGTCCATTTTCAGCAAAATCGAATTAGTTCAAAACAATTTAAAATAATAAGCAAAAAACAGCATTAACTAACGGCAACAAAAGTTACACAGTTTTTTATATGTGTAAATATTACAACCGCAGAGTCTCATTAATCATCAACAAAAAAGCATGCACGTTAAATACTCAAACAAATCTAGCAGCATGTAGGCAACAAATTGCAATTTCCAACACACACAAGTATACCTACCGAAGTTGTGAAAAATGCATTAATGTTTAGAGTTATTTTATCACGCTTAAATGAAAATGTAAAAAGCCATTTTATTTTATTTTTTTTTTAATGTGCTTAAATTAGACATCACAATGGTAATGAAAATATTTTCACTTAAATGCATTCATTGCTTTTGCTCTCCATTTTTTTTCTTAGAACTAACAGCACTTGCTTTATTTCAAAATCGAAGAAATCAAAATGTTGTAAATTTCGTTAAATCACGGGAGTTTATTCATTATTATTTTGATTTTCGGAACAAACACATTAAAACCTAGTAGATAGTATTATATACAATATATTATTGCATATTTCACAACTTATGACATATTTACATAAATAAGGAATACCGCATCACACTGCTTCTCAAATACGCTGAAAATTTACTACTACACGTGCATACACACATTTAATGGAGAAAAATAGGCTCGTGAATTAGTAAAAAAAATAATTTAAAGGAAAGAAAATAAAATAAATAATAAACATCGTTGGTAGATAATGTGCTAATTGGATTGGATGATAATGAAGAGAATTTTTTGCATTAAACGGATTTGTTGATTTGCTATTCGAAAGCTTAATGGATGAGCATAGAAGTTGCTGAGATAATGTCGAATTTAAAGAACAATTTTTGCGTGTTTCATTCAATTAAAATTATTTTGTGTTAAATGAAGTCGTTTATGTTTATCAGTATGGCTATAGCTAAGTTTGTGTATATCGTTTCCAAAACAATTTAATCCTATCACTTATATTCTTTATGTATTCTTATACAATTACAACAAAAATTAGTTTATTGTATGTAGCGTGAAACAAATGTAATTTTATCTATTGTATTTGTATTGTTAAAACCTTATAAAATATAAATATGCTATTAATAAAGAAGGATGCGTGTGTGAGTGTGTGTGTGTTATTTAGATTTTTTACTTTACACACATACATACATGCCGCTACATTTAAATGTACATGCTAATTAATATTATTGTAGAACACTAAGTGTTGATTTTATGTTTAATATTATTAATTTTCAAATAGAAGGCGTATTAAAACTTCAATCAAGAGCTGACATTGTACGGAAATTAGTTAAATACATTCATATTAAAGCAAAATATACAAACTAAGTAACGCCAATAAAATCGTATGGATTTACTCATAAATTCAAATGAAATAACTGTTGAAAAATATACATTTCCATAATTAAATTGAACAGCATTAGCAGTAGAAAAAGCCATATATTATTTTATTTGGCTTCTGTTAGTAAAACTGCAATTTATTTTATACTTTCGTGAGAAGTTTCTATAGCCTGTTGATATTGATTACACTTTCCATTGTTTACTTCGAAATATGTAAGCTTTCCAATTAATTTGTTTTACTTATCACAACTATGCTAAAAATACATACATCTTTATATAAAATGGGTCCTTTACCTATTAACGCCACCGCAGCTGTACCTTTTTGTAAAACCCTAATTCACATTCACCTGGACCCTATTTGAACCAATACAGGCTATACCTTGCACAGTTTCTTGTTGTTAATTCATTTTTGTATAATTTTTAGTAAAAGCAATGATCAAAACTATGACTTCGGTGGCGTTAATACGCAAGTACCATAAAATGCATTGTTATTTCGACTATTCGATATTTTGAGTTGATTTCAACTTCAATTTAACCATGAGATGAATTGTCATTCGCTCCTAAAAAATAAAATATCGTATCTGATCAGTAATTGAAATAAGTAACTTTTATTTGCCATGAGGTGCAGCATAAGCATGAGTTTACAGTATATAATTACAATAAACTTAACTAAAGTACATATTACAACATCATATCGAATTTATTGTTCTATCTACTTCTGCCTGTCATGCCTGGTACACGATAGAGAAATTCACCATCATCATCATAATAGACATCTTCGACTCGATACGTCGCTCCTTTGCGCCACAACTTACGCGGTATATGTATTCGATCTTTAACACGTGTAATTTCGAAACGTTTCTGATCTTCAACGCTGATGACAACTTCGTTGCTTTCATATTTCTGCAGCAAATTTAAGTCCACCAAAGGGTTCTTCTGTGAGTTTGTTGAAATAACGCCAGTTCCACTTGGATTTCGTAATTCCATGGCTGCGTTTTGATCTATTGACTTTTTGTTAGCTAATTCATTTGATGTATCCGCTAATTCATTTGGAATTAGTTTATATTTTTTCAGGTCTTGTAGACGCATTCTGCGCTTATCGTATACTTTATCCAGCAAATACGTTTCATCCTCTGGCGCAGATGACGCTAATGAATTCCGCTTATTACACAATTCTCCAGTTTGAAGCTGTGGTACATCCTCCTTTTCGGCATATTTATCACAACTTGTGATAATAGATAGAAACTCTTGCTTTGTTGGACGAGGTAAAGTTGCTTTAGAAGGTAAACCTTCAGAGAGTGCAACTAGATCTTCCGTTTTTCTAGTGGCAAATTTTTCTAAATGTTCTTGAAAATGGCGTGGAAGTTGCAAAAGATTTGGATCTGTACGAAATTTTTCCCAATTTCGTATAACAACTTCGTCGTGTTTTCGTATACGTTCCGTGCTGCGTGCCTGCCATTTGGCATCTAATATTTTTTTTATGATTTCCGTTGTAGCAGGAAAACTTTCAGCTAAACGTTCTGCTGTCCACTCTTCTGGGTCACGCGCATGTAAAGTACGTATTTGTTCTTTCTCGGCGTAAGTTAATAAGTTGGGTAATTTGGTTTCACGGAAGTATTTATGCTTAACCATAAGCTTACGAATTCGTTCACGATTTTGAGCCGTTTCACTTTCATGTTCTCGGTGTGTCTCATGTGCAGTCATAAAATCGGATTCTAAATCACCAAACCCTTCGGGATCTTGAGTGAGTCGTTCATCAACTGTTTCCATGCTAGTTATCTGGTGCCCAATACCTGGATTGGAGCGACGACCAACACCACGCACCATACGTACAATAGCCGTGTGAAAATGTCGAATTTGATGTCCTGGAATCATTTTTTACTTTGTAAATAACTCTTTGCAATCCAGGAAGTAATATTGGAGTAGAAATATATTCGCCCAAAAGCAAATTCTAAACAGCTGGTTGTCAGCTGTTTGCTACCCATGTAGTCTTGCCACATTATCTATTTGGATCCAACTGAATTGGTTCGACTTTTTGAGTATAAACAAATACGCAAATATTTTAGCAGTTGTTAATAAAATAAATTGGCAATGATATAAATTATTCTTTCAAAATACTTTTAATGAAAATATTTTTTATTACGAACGAAGAGTTGCGGCAGTACTGGTATACGTTTGCATAGATTTCAACGCCGCTGAATTCATTTTTACGCCGTCGAATATTAGCCATTCGCGCCAATTTACCGTTAAAACATATTTCCCTTCCTTGTAAATGAAACAAGCATTGACGAATTTGTAATCGAACCGAGTTAAAGTGGAAAATATATATAAATATATAGTTATGAATATGGTCTTTATTAAAAATGTTAAATATTATGTAACCATTTGATATATTAAATACAACTTTAGTTTCGTGAGTTTAATTTTGAACATTTGTCAGAAAGCACCAGCAACTAAGTCACCACCACTGACAATGGTATCCGAGCTAACAAGGATTTGAGCATCAGTAAGGCGAGATATCATATCGCAAGCACCAATTTCTGCATACGATACGCCCCCAAGTACAAATATAAAAATATTACGTCTTTGCAGCGGGAATATTTCTTTCAAGTCATTCAATTTAGCGGAGTTGGCAAAAGACTTGGCGCTGAGCGTTGTACCATCGGGTAAGTGCATTTTTAACTTATCCACCATACCTACTTTAGTGGCAAACTCCTCTGAGGATTGCGATTTTAGTGCGCATGCGCACAGTTGTGCTGATATTGGTATGTACATATTGTTGAACACATAACTGGCACATCCACTGCCTGAAGTTGTACCACCAGGTCCACTTTCAACATTGCTACCACCAGAGGTCGAAGACTGTGACTGGCTGGCGGTTGAGGATGTCATTAATCTCAATCTGTTGGCGTTTGCTTGAAATTCGGTTTGCTGAAATTTTGGTATGGGCAGATTTGAAAGAAGTTTAGCTGGAGTTTTTGATTTCTCCTCCTCCCATGCTTCGGGTAGTAAGCCTGCCCTAGCTAGTTGTTGAAAAACAATCAGGTGTTCTTGACCGAAGTAATTGCAAAAGTTCCGTGCAAATTGTATTACTTCTTCACTACTTATGCCGGCACATAAGTGTAAAAGGCAAAGCAAGCGGAGAGTATTGTACTTTTGTCCATCGGAAGTGAGCAGCTCATCGATTTCAGTTAGTATTCGTTTGCGCGATACATTGTTAAGTATGTTTTCCTCAAGGGATTGTACACGACGAAAGTTGCCTCCTAGCATTTCAATTATTTGTTCACTGGCATTTAGGTGGCGCATCACTTTGGTTTTTAATTCAGTAATTTTTGGAAGTTTACGGGCTACATAATCCTGCATCTCGTCTAGCTTCATGTCGTTTAGCTTTTGTACTTCCAGACTGATTGTCTTCGCTTGCGAACGTATTTGCGCGCTTGCTTGTGCAAAATGTTTGTAACGATTTTCTCCATAAATTTCATCGCTTAAAGCATTCATACGTATACTAGGTAGTCTACTTGACTTTGTTTTTCCAACTGGTGCAGCTTGCTTTTGTTTGTTAGATATTCGAGGTAGCTGAAATATTTCTAGCTTTTGCTTTAATATTTTATTTGAAGATGTATCTAATTCGATTTCCGCCGCTCTTCTACCGAAAACCTCTAGTAATAATCCTGAATATATAGCTGGTGTTAGTAAGCTTGAGGGATAGTCTTTGTCACGGTCGATTATGATGAAAGCAGCAAAGTCGGATGGTAAATCGCGGCTATTACTCTTATAATTCTTACTAAGTGTATGCACCATTTTAACCAAATTAGCCGAATGTTCGCCGAAGGTAAGGATCACCTCCGGTCGTCCGCAAACAATTTCCAATACACGTAACGATTGTGCTATCGCTGGCAACAAAGAAGTATCTTTTCGTAAAAAGAGTGTAGAGAAGACCTGGATATGAATTTATAGTCTTATTATGCAGATACTTATGCACATGATTCAGCATAAAAAACTTACATTTGGTATTTCCATAGTCATTATTCCTTGATCAAGGCAAATGAAATCCCAGTTGTAGCGATGTAACTGCACCAAACCATAAAGACCTTCTTCTTCCAGCAGGAGTTGAAAGTGGCTGAAACAGCTTGGCACGCAAATTATGTGAAAACTCTTTATAGCTGCCTCGAGATCTGTTGGATTTTGTCGCTCTAGCTCGGATATATGCTTCAAAACTTTTTGGAATATTTCCAACCTGCTGTATATTAGAAATATATGAACTTGGTGTTCAGCTGTACGTGGTACAATTTGTTCGTTATCAAATTTATATATTCTTTGTATCCCTTTCAGCTTAAGCCACGATGCAGCACAAACATGTTCTAAAGGCTTTATAAGTGCATTTTCTATAATTAAATCTTTTTTACCAGGTATAGAACAAATTATAGCCTGCAGCTTTTCCTGAGCGATAAGTTGGAAACCTTGCAATTTCTTATCCAGCGTTAAATCCATCTTATTTTAAGCAAAGTTTTTATATTCGAGGCGAATTAAATAAATTATTCGAGCTATGACTCAATGTTGTTGCAATAATGAAAACATTGCAGACGTGTGCGGTGTTGTTGTACAGTAATAATGACGTTCTCAACATCAGCTGCTGTGTTTTTAACAGAATACAAAAGCAGGAGCGCAAGAGAGAAAGAGAGAACATACGAACTAGTGTTTCAAAATAAATGATAACTGTGTTGTGTACTTCATCGTTTTGCCAAATCGCAAATAATCTTTGTCAGGCGAGCGTTCATTAACCACACAGACCGAGCAAGACTAGCAGGTATAAGTTTCAATACTACGCGTAGCTTCGTAACGGGGGATGGTGAGAGCAAAACTACATAGTTTTCTTCAGGAAAAAATTGTGTTAAATAAAATAATATTATACCAGCGACTAATTTTTTTGAAAGCGACGTAGAGAATATTTTTCTGTTGTTATGAAATATTTAATATTAATTCTTAAGAAACTATTTACACTAAGCGGAGGGTGAAACATAACCACTTTCCATCAGTCGGAGGGTAGGGATTTCACAAGAAAGGGTAAGTTAGAGGGAGGGAGAGGATTTGCGGACGCTCACTGAGTTAATTGTTTATGCTTATATTTGAAACTTATGCGAAGAGTTATTTGTCCAAAAACTTATCATAATACTTTTTAAAATTTATCAGTATATCAGAATTCTTAAATGAACTATGGTTAGCTTTCAAATTAGTCAGCTGTTTTATTCTTAGCAATATCAATTTTATAGTATTTTAACTAATAGCAAACATTTATACTTTCAGCTTAAATCATTTGATATAGCAATAAACTGGATAAAGTTGGTTTCCATACAAATCCAGTTTATCAGTGGGTTATCGCTAAAATAAGGACTTATAGTTCCTCTATCTTTTCTGCACTTTGTGCTGTAGGCGGGTAAGTAAGAGAACGAGCTGTATCGGCGTACTTGGACATAGAGAAAGTATCCCCACTGTGGGTTTTAGGGTATATGAAAGAAACGAGGTCGCACTGACTGCAGGACATATGTTAATAATGTGCCTCGCAAAAATCAGAAGTGGTATATGATTAGTTTTTAACCGTAAGGTCTGCTTATGTTCAGACATTTTCTGCACATCTTTTGTTTTATTAACTTTATCACCCTTTCAATAAAATCGAAGTGGATTTACTTACAAGAAAAAGTGTTTTAAATATTTGAACTGGTCAAAAAGAACTAAAACTAATAAAAAAAAATTTGCAAGGACCAAAAAATAGATCTTTCTAATATATTGTACGTTTATTTTTGGTGAATGTTTTTTGGTCTAAATCAAGTATTGATGCGTAATTTAAATATTTGTTTAGAGAAAATCATACTTTTCAATATCATCACTGCTAATGACATTTTCATGGTGTCATTCGTTGCGGCGAATTCAAAATGTGCTCATTTTTTGCATAAACGTTGCCTTGTCCGCGCCCCTCAAAAGTGCTCCAGCAAATCAACTAACACATGGCGAGAAACACGAAACATCGGCATGCGACATAGAAACGAACACGAAAATACAACAGTTAACAGAAACAGCACTAAGGCTGCAACTACCCAACTCACTCTCCAGCCGTCCATAACTGACGACGTTAGTAGTGAAATACATACACGAGCTATCGACGCCGCTGATATCGGCGAAATGTTGCCAGCTGCCTGTGTGTTTGCACACTTTTGAACAAATTCATAATTTTCGTCAACGAATTTCATAATTTATTTGCTTTAACATAAACACAAGGCAAATATACAT